TTCCTTCTCTCTCACTTTCCTTCTCTCTCACTTTCCTTCTCTCTCACTTTCCTTCTCTCTCACTTTCCTTCTCTCTCACTTTCCTTCTCTCTCACTTTCCTTCACTTCTACTTCTCCTTCTACATCACTCGTTTTCCCATGCAAAAAAAAACAAAAAAACAAACAAAAGGCTAAATTTGACTCATCTTTCATGATGATGCCTAGCTTTTCTTCTTTCTCTCTTTTTTACCTTTTTTTTGGGGGGGGGGGGTTTCCGTCTCGCACGCAGTTCACGAGGCGTAGACATTTGGGGGGCGGGCGGGCGGTCATGTATGTGTATGTGTGTGTGTGTGTGTGTGTGGTAGGGGGTGACCGAGGGACGGGGGGACGGGGGACGGGGGTTATGTATGTATGTATGTAGGTGTTAGTCACACTACATATTTGAGAAGAGAATGAGAAGAGAACGAGAATGAGAATGTTTTGAGAGAATTTAAACCCACGCTTTTCTTCTTTTTTTTCTTTTTTTCTTCTTTTTTTCTTTTTTTTCTTTTTTGGAATATACATACTAGGTAGGCAGTAAGTAGGTACGCTGGAAGTAAGTAGAAACTTCAGTGTGTTGGCTTTGAGGTTACTTGTTCTTGTTTCCTTGGTACACTTGTTATTGTTCTTGTTCTTGTTCTGATTCTTGGTTCTTGTTGTGTGTGGTTGTGTCTAGTTGCCGAACCGTTCCAAGTGTGTGTGTGTGTGTGTGTGTGAGAGAGAGAGAGAGAGTGCGAGAATAGGCAAAAAGATTCCAAGTAGAAATCAAGGAGAAATAGTGAAGATGTGTAGGTGTAGGTGATGGTGTGAAGTAGATGTAGTGTTCATACACGTGTGTATGCGTGTGCTCGCACAGTCAAGTACTATATATTAGTGACTCTTGTATTACTTAGCCCGACCTATCTATATGCGTGTATGTGTATGTACGTCTATATCTCGTTATATCTCCGTTTCCTTTTCCCTTTCCCCCCTCCCCTCCACCATCCATGTGCACAACAATAGCCAAGAAAGATCAAGAGACATTAGACAG